TTGTTGTAAACCGCTTTCTCGCAGCTCGGGGAGGTTGGCGACGGCCTGGGATTTCGATAGATGTTCCCGGCAATCAGCATGAGTCATGCAATCGGCGCAGTCGTCCAGGCAGGCCTAACCGCGATGAAGCGGATGTCCGCACTTTCAGAAGTGAGAGAAGCCGCCGCGCGGAGTTGAGAAGCATTGTGCACCTCATCGGAGTGTTCCCGGAGCTCGACTCTCTGTAGAGAGGCGACCAGCAGAAGTTGCAACCATGTCCGCAAGCACGTCATCCCTGAAGACTATAATTTTGCTGAAAGGTTCCACCACCGTATTACACATATGTGCGAAATCCCGTCAAATATGCTGAGAAACTGTTTGATGCGGTCTCTCTAAAGAGCCAACGAAACGTTGTAAATCTCTTAGTACAAACACAAAACACGGCAGAGACGAAAAGGGTACCTTTGAACTTGAAGCAAGCCCATGGTCAACACACGCACTGCACCGCACAAAAAGACCATCCGTGTGCGCTACTTTTAGAGCGTTAACAAGCAAAGCAAGGCGTAAATGAGTAAGAATCGTTCCGTAGAACCCGTAGAACCAGATCACAACAGCCGCCATCACAACCCTAAATATACAAACACAGTGCTGCTAGACTTCTTTTCTTTGGTTTTGTGAGTTTGTCGGGTGTGTAAATAAGTAATAAGTCTGATGAGTAAATTTATTAATACTATACACTACAGATATTTTCTTCTTGATGTGTTCTACTTTTAAGTCACAAAATAAAATATAATATAATTTATTAACTACAAAATGCATACACGGTTGGTTTAGCCTATTTTAGACCAATGGCTTAGGTTGGCAACATACGTTCCCGCCGGTTCAAGTGGTTCAAGTATGGTTTAAGTTTGGTTTAAGCGGTCTAAGTTTAAGTTTGTATCGCGGCTCGCACAATTGTGGCTCGCACGGTTCTGACCTGACAACCGTGGCTCTGAAACATCGTGAAGACAAGTTCTAGTAGTTACGGTTCGAAGTGCCTAACGGTCAGGCTGCGTAATCCCACTGTGGCACCGACGCACCTGCGTACCCTGCGTGAAACGTAAGTAGCGGTACCTCATTTCCTTTAGTGATGCTGCTCACTTGCTTAACCGACGGGATCTCGCATATTACGTTTGTGGGTATTCCTGTCTCGGGTACCCGAAATCGGGACGGCTCCTTTGGAGCCTTTGGATCCTTTGGAGGTCGATATCTGACCTCAACAATTCCGTCTAGGACCGGAATTCGGTGCCGGTCCTAGACGGAATTCAAGGCGGTGCGTTGTAAGTGGCAGAGCTTCGCTTTAGGGTGCCCATTATTACCTAAACCTCGCACATGCTCGTGAATGTGCGAGGCTGGTTAGGTAATAATAGACAAGAGTAATTATTTGAGGGCTCTACAGTGATTATTATTTTGAAGAGCGAAGCGCTGCCACTATGACCCGGACGAAATCCGGACAAAATTTTCTAGCACAACCAATGACTATGATAAGTGGGCAACCATGTTCGCCGATTGCGCGCGATTTCGGTTACGCCAGACTGCGCGACTCGCGATGCATGATATCCCTTTGTGATTGAACGGTGCTAAGAGGAAACGATCTCCTGGTTCGTAAAATGAAGCGACAGAGGCGAGCATTTGATGACGTGTGCGACCGACAGAAGAAAAGAATTATTGCCGAAAACGTGCGCGACCATCTTGCGGACATTTTTTCTAAGTCTGCTCCGGACGAGAGCGATGGAAATTCTGCGGTTGACGGATCAGACGACAGCAGTGACGGAGCCAGGGAGGGTCTGAGCGCACCGCAAGTCGACGATCCCAGAGATCCTTGCGCGAGCACATCAGCTTCCGAAGAAACTGAAACTCATTTGCCAATCTCAAGTGCAGATGAGTTTACTTTGGCAAGCGAGCTGGCCACCTGGGCACGTGAGACCAAAGCCTGCGCATCCCATCTTAGCAAGCTTTTAAAGATATTGAAGAAGTATCACCCGGAGCTGCCTAGTGACGCAAGAAGCCTAATGGGGACACCAAGATCTTGCAATGTGAAAAACATGGGAGCGTCCGGCCTCTACCACTATTTCGGAATCGAATCGTCACTAAAACGAATGATGAGCTCAGGCAGCATCACTGGAGACACCATTTCGTTGCTCATCAATGTTGATGGCCTGCCTATAGCGAAAAGTTCCAGCAAGCAGTTCTGGCCCATTCTTGCATCTGTCGTCGAAAGCTGCGATCCTGAACCTTTCGTCATAGCTCTGTTTGTTGGAGACAAGAAGCCGGAGAACTTGGATGACTACCTTACCGATTTCATTTCGGAGTTAAGCACATTGCTGGAAGAACACGTGACCGAGGGCGGAAAGGAGTGCGTAGTTCGAGTGCATGCGTTCATTTGCGATGCGCCCGCAAGGGCATTTCTGAAGTGCATCAAGGGCCATGGGGGATACTTCAGTTGTGAAAAGTGCACCCAAGAAGGCACCTTCTCTGAAACTTCCGGAAAGTAATTCTTCCAGAAGTCAGCAGCCCCCTACGAACAGACGAGTCGTTTCGAAAGCAGGATCAGGAAGGGCACCATCATCGACAGTCCCCATTGGTCGAGCTACAGATTGGCATGGTAAGCCAATTTCCCCTCGACTATATGCATTTAGTCTGCCTAGGCGTTATGCGGAGGCTTCTACTTCACTATTGGGTGCGGGGACGACCTCATCGATCAAAGCTCCCACCACGTGCACAGACTAGCATCTCAACAATGCTCATGAAACTCCAGAGACACACCCCTCGGGAGATGGCTCGGAAGCCCCGGAGTCTTCATGAATTAGAGAGATGGAAGGCCACTGAGCTACGAAACTTCCTCTTGTACTTCGGTCCTGCGGTTCTAAAAGACCACATGGAGAAGCGCTACTACCAGCACTTTCTCAAACTGAGCATTGCAGTGTCAATCCTGTCAAGCCCACGACTCTGCCATGAGGAGATTGATTCTGCAGAGAAGCTGCTTGAAGAGTTTGTTTCTGATGCTGGGGACCTGTACGGTGAAGGCATTTACGTGTACAACATACATTCTCTGCTGCATCTTACTGCTGATGTGCGGAGGTTCGGTCACCTTGACTCCTTCTCTGCGTTCCGGTTTGAGAACTTTCTGGGTCAACTGAAGCGAGATTTGAAGTCACCAAATCGACCATTACAACAGATTGTAAAACGCTTAGAAGAGCGCAGTCATGCTGACTTGCATCCTAGAATACCACCGAAGCAGCAGGCATTGTTGCAAAAGCCGCATAATGCCGGACCAGCACCTCCAGGATTTAAGGGAGAGCAGTATCACAAGCTAGTTCTTCAAGGCATGGTTCTGGAAGTGAACCTACCAGACTCATGTTTTCTGATGGAAGATGGAAATGTAGTCGTCGCAACAAATGTTGTGTCCCGTGATGGAGAGATCAAGATCTGTGGCCAGTTTTTCAAGAGATTAACAAACTTCTATGCCGGCATTGTTGACACAACTGGACTGTGTACTTTCAGGGCTTCTCAGGTTTCGTCTGCAAATGCTTTGTGGACTGTTGAACAGGTCAAATCAAAGTGCTGCTGGCTTCCTTGTGGGGGTGAATTTTTGGTTAAGCCACTCTTGCACACAGGATAGCTCAGATAAGCAATATCTGCCGTAAATGTGCTCTCACTTATAGTGTTGTTTTAATGAGTATATAATCATCACGAATAAAAATAAAGTGTGTGTGCTAATGTCTTTGGCATAAATTATGTCTTTATGCTAATAACTGCTAGGGGATTTTTAAGGACATTTCTTCTGATTATAAGGCATCTGTAGGTTGAAAATTGAGGGATTAGAAAAAAGCTGCTATAAATAGAACTGTTTATATGATGGAAAGACCAAAATAGAAAAGCTGTAAGGTGAATGTCTAATAAAAGGTTAGTTTTCTTTTGCTCATGATGTGTGCTCACTACTTTAGCTCTTTAAATGAATGATAATGTGATTATCCTTTGACTTGGTGATTACACGTAACTATTGTCCCAACTGATAGATATCCCAGCTAAGATGCCGCAAGTATAAAAAGACTGAACACTCTACGCCAGAGGTACACAACCTTTTCGGGACTGCGAACCCCCAAAGCTTCTGAGTGCCCTCCGGCGACCCCCGCCTTAACTATTTTTGGAGCTCTCCGAGGCTCTGTAGCCGCCAGACATTTCCCCACAACCTCCAGTCTGTGCACCTCTGCTCTACACAAGTGAAAACCACTATGTTGTTAGCAGGTGTCTTGCGAAACGCAAGAAAGACTTGGCAAACTTTTAAATATCAATTTTAAGACCAGCAGGATCAAGGTGTCAACTGGCAGGCTTTAGAAGTCTTGAGAAACAGCCAACTGGGGTGTTTTGAACACAATACACTTTGTTTGCTTCCTTTTCTAGCAAAGAAAGAAAGCCCATGAAATATAGGGTGGTTCAAGCCACCAGGCTCGATCTGAAATGGACCGTAAAAATCAATGCCTGCACGTAACAATCTAAACTTTTCGTCAGCGGTGTATTTCACAGGTCGGTTTTTTCTTGTAAAATTATAAAGCGTAGTTCTCGTTCTGTAAAAAATAAGGCCAAGAAACTTGCCAGGGTCTACGGCGGGCAGCGACGTAAACGAGAGGGGTTCATTAGCGGGATGTGTTTGGCATTCGTATCGATAGATGGCGTCGGGAGCAGCCTCCGAAGTTGCAGCCGACCAGTGAAAGAAAGCAGACGACACGCAGACGAAATCCGTTGACAGCAAAAGCGCCACCGTTATACAGACACGTTTTTTTTACTCTAAGTTTTGCTTTTATTGTCCGCATTTATTTTTTAACCGAAGGTACATTTCAAAAAGATTATGCCCATTTTAACAAACCACGGTGGTCACGAGCCGTTGCGATAAGGAGGGAGCGCCATCTATCAATACAAATGCCAAACACATCATGAGTTTTCTTTTGTTTTAGTTTTAGTAATTTTCACCTTCATAAACCATGTACACAGCATTCATATTTTATTTGGTTTCATCAATATTCGATTCATGTTTGATTTGGTTACATCACTATTTGCACACCCCTAATCTTGTTACTTCATAAAACTTGTAGGTATGCTCTTTACTGACGGTCTCAAATTGAATTTTCTAGATGTTCTCGGTCGCCCATTTTATGAAGACTGATGACGTGGCCGTGGTTCCAACACGCTGGATTAAGAACGGGACAGCTCCCTGGCCACCGTTTAAAAATACTGCAAAAGTGAACAGTGCAGTGAGGGACAGAACGGAGCCAGGCAAAGACTGGCCAAAATTTGCCTGCAGGGTCATATACAGGTAAGCTCCGCCCTGAACGTCATTAGTTTTTTTTTTTTCATTCTGAAGAGAGCACTGCTCTATTGAAAGTTATTACAATCCACACTTTCGCAGAATCTACAAAAGAGAAGGGGGTTTGGTTGTGAAATAATTCTTAAAGTACATATCATATCTGACTCCCTTTTTTTAGTTACTATGGTAACGGTACTATAGACCTCCCACTGCCTATGTTAATAGGACACATTGGTAACAGCTTGATAGCTACAAAAAGGCAGCATATGCTTCATTAGCAGAAGCTACGTACAGCTTAGACAAAACTCAGCAAAATATAATGCCTCACATTCAACGCACATTTTTTATTAATTCATTATCTACATAACATCTGACTTGCAGACAGTTACGAAGTTGCCCGCAAGAGGTCCATAAAGGCGGAGGAAGAGTCCGACCTTACATCGGAAGCAGAGACATCGCAAAAAAGAATACGGCGACCTCCGACATTTTTCGATGACTACCTCACTGACAGCAGCGATGAGGAGGGAGTAACTGAAGAACCACCTCCAGAAGGTGACATTGAATTTCTCGCTGAGCCCCCACCGCCACCACCTCTTCAAAGAAAAAGTGGAGCACATTGTGGAGGAGCAGGCCAAACTGATGGTGGCAAGTCCTTTTTTCTTACACGTGTTTTGAAGGAAATGGTTTACATGAACAAATACTAGTGATAAAGTGAAATGCACAAGGTAATCAAAACAAAACTACAGATCATGTATTTCACACTTCGAATGTTTGTAATCTAGAGTTGAGAAAAGGCCTTCCTAGACCCACGTGCAGGCTGTTATGTACACAGTGCGACACTTTTAGCATGAACATGACATCGGCGCTTTTTTGTGCTTTGCTCAAGCTGTGAAACCCTTATGGGCCCTTTTCACCGCATTAGTAATTTTGGTGATATCACCTGATTTGTGTAAGTAAAGCGAGTAAACCCGACGATGTTGTGTTTGTGCTAACAGCGTCGCATAGTGTACAGTATGGGCATGGTATAGATCAGGGGTGGGCAAACCGCGGCTCGCGAGCCGCATGCGGCTCTTTGCTGGTCCAAGTGCGGCTCGCGGATCCCTCGTAAGAGGACTCCCCCCCCCCCTTCGCCCCTTTCCGCGTTTCCCCAAGAAAAAAAAGAAGAAAGGATTCCAGAATAAAGCACACTGCAGCTTGCAGTTTGACAGCCTTGTACTCCCATCCAAGGAAATACGCAACTGTGACATAGCAGTTCAACTGCTCATCCTTGTTATTACTTATGCATTGCTTGTGGTTTTTCAGATGACTTGGTGTTGCCCAAAGGAAGACCAAAAAGTGCATCTTCTTTGAACTGCTCTGCTGAACCTTCAAGAAATGGCAAGTATATTTTGTGACTGACAGAAGAGTTAGGATGTATGTGCACTTTTGACACATGAACCTGTAAAAAGTAACTTCACTTAGTTACAAGTTTCTGGAAAATGTACCTAAAATACAGCAGGGGTGGAATAGCTGTACCATTTGCGCCAGACGCATATGTCTGCGCCATCCTGAAACATGTTGTGGAAACTGCGCCACAGCCAATACCTCGTGCCATTATGCACCAAAAGAATTGTATTTTGTCTTGGTTCCGGTTTTTATCGACCCGATTCGCAACAATGAGCGCATTTAGCTTGGTCGGCCTTGCACTCCTTTGCTCTGTTTATTCTCCCTGTGTATCTCGAGTCAGAAGCGCACGAAAAAAATTGGGGGTCAGACTCCAAGCGCTACACCACCTGCTTCTGGATTGTTATCCTTCAACCATAAGCGGTTAAAGGGCAACTCCGCTCAATTCCGAAGATTTCGGGATAATGAGTGATTTCGAATTAAAAAGCCCTAGTAAAACACACTACGTTGTTTGCTTTGCGAAAAGTGGGCTATATATTTTTAAATCTAATTTTAAACACGAGCTGAAATCGAAACCGAAACTTCGGCTCTGCCCGGCAACATTGGCCTCGGGCCGCCAAGTACATGGCCATCACGTGGTACGAGATGTCACGTGATCCTCGGCCCAACGACGGGCGGGATTGGGGCGGGCGTGTGGCAGGCGCGAGTGTCGTCTGCACCGCACTCTTCGCCACGTTTTGGTGTCTACGGCATTCGACGACGTCTGCACAACTGCGGCATAAGTCTGCGCACATGGTGTCCGTGGTGTGGATGAAACTCCGAGAGACAATAATCACAATCGGTGAGACGACGACGGCGGTTGTGACGCGGAAGACGGCGGTAACGGCGGGCGGCCGGACGGCTCCCAAGAAACGCGCTGCGCGGGCGCGTTACACCAATCATGTGGACACCGCTGAGCGCCGAGAGGCAACGTTGCTGACGTCATGCGCTACGCTCGCGCGGAGAAGTGAAAACAAGCAAAAGGGGGCCATGATAATGACGTTTAGCTCAATGTTGGCTCCGCCCATGCCATAGCCTTGACTGCGCTGTTGGTTGCGCCTGATCGCCCGCTCAAGTCAGCCGATTTCGACAACTTGGCGAGTTGCGAAGTTTGCCGGACCGTTTAAGAAACATTTAGACAGAACTGCGTCGTAACATTTCACTCGTGGTCTTCCTAGGCGATACTGAAGAGGACTGCATTGTTTTTTCAAAACCAAAAATGAAGCGGAGTTGCCCTTTAAGCACGTCAGCAGAAGTGAGGTCGAGTCGTTAAGAGTCAGATTGCCTGAGGCTCTGCGGCCCGGGATCCAGACTTCAGCCAGTTGAAGACAGGAGCAAAAGATTCCTGTTAGTACTTCATCGTTAAAAGTTGGAACCGCATTCCCACAAGATAAATCGTGATTTGATAGAACTGAAATGCGGTCCAATCCGAAACCTTGCCGGCCAGCAGCTCTCATGCAAGCGGTAGATCTGCTTGGCATACTTTAACCTTGCTCCTGCTTATCGCCTCGAATATGATAACTACGCTTAATCATAGTCTGCTGCTTCGTTATTGAGTTACACAATAGGATAAATTCGAAATTTATTGCCCTGTTCCTTCGCGCAACTGCACGTTCGTTGCTTGCGCACGTCACGTGATTCGCGCATGTAATTACTAAGACATAAACTGAAGTGCAGTGAAAACTTATCTGAGCTGCTCCTAGCCTGCTCCAGAATGTAGGTTCAGCTGCTCCCGTGGCTCCTCCCAAGTACATTTCATGAGTTCCAACCCTGTACAGATACAGATACCGAAAAATGAAAGTACCTAGGTTTTTATGTCAGGTACAACAAAGGTACCTAGATACCGATTTCGAGTTACTTGTACCTAGGTGCTTTACAACCCTGGCTGAGGCATGTCCTGTTTAAAAAAAAAAAAACTTTAGCCTTGTTGCTTTGCAGCATTGATGCATGCTGCACGTTGTAAGAATGGATAATTTGTTTGTGTAATTAAGCTAAGTGCTTCGGTAACGTGAGCAACAAGAGAAAAGTTTCTGTATCTTTAATGCTCTTACAGCTTTAAGCGATTAAAGTATTAACTCCTTGTCACCTTGAAAATGAATAAAGGCTTGTTTTTTTATCATCTTTATCGGAACACTCAATATTGATAAGGTTCTAACGTATTGCTCTTTTTTTTTTTTTTTTTAGCTTTGGTCACAGTTCTTAGGGAACTTGAGTGTATTAAGGCACAGTTGACAAGCATGGCTACAATGTTGGCCAGAATACAGATGCATGTGAATGCTGATGACCCTACTGCCATGGCTGGTCCAGTCCATCCAGAAGACCTTCCAGTCTATCCAGTGAAGACAAGAGAGGAATTTGCCTTCCTGGAGGCTAGCTTAAAAAATGAAGCCATTTTTGCAAAGCTAGTAAGTTTCAAGTTGTTGTGCGTTACAGCCAAAGGTTATTATCCAGAACATACATGTACTGAAATAGTCATTGTTTTTCATCTTTCTTCTGTTCTTTGAGCAAGAGAAGCTTTTATGTGTGGCTTATTGTGGATAACTTTTGATTTCTAGGTGAAAGAGCTTGGCCAAATTGGAGGTAGAGATGTAGCCTCTACAACAAAAACGGTGTTTAAGAAACTTGTCGGAGATGAAGTTGCCGTCTTCTACAACAGAACCGGGCGAAACGGAAAGCAAGAAGCCGGGAAACTGAAGATCTTTAGCCTGATCTATGGTAAGAGTAATGTTTTTGTATCACTGTCTACACTATGGAGAGTAATGTGCTTGCATGCACCCGTCTTTTTTTTTTTTTTATTATTAAGTATTACTTTACAGTGATCGTTATAAAACTTCTGATAGCTGTGCATATTTTTTTCAGCTGCTGTACGTGTAACCCGCAAAACTGCAACAGACGACGAGATGGGCCGCGCCATTGGTGATTGGCTGCGCTTCGCCAACGTCCGGCTCCGTGCTCAAGGCAAGCAACAACCTAATCTTTGCAGGAAGGATACAAATACATTGAAGCTGATGATTAATCTAAAAATCTCCTGAGGCTTACAAAATGAAGAATGTAAACCATGCATGAGATCTGTAACACAGCGAAGAGTTCTATTGTACTATCGCTATACATTGAAATACAAAGAAGAGAGCTTGTGGCTTTCTACAAATGCTGCACAAACTGGCCACGAGCCAGCGAAGCTTGCACATGTGTAGTTCGACCAAGGACACTAGATTAATCTCCAACTCTTGAATGCCTTGACTGGTGCCTGGTGTGTAAGCAGTGTACTGAAAGTTATGCGCTTTGTGTTCATATTGCAATGTATTGCAATAGTACATGCTCACTTGTATCATTGCCCCTCCCAATCAAATGCACCAGCAGAAGCAGTGAGCACAACTACAAAATAACGAAGGAAGCTTTGTTTACAATAATTTCTTATTGGAAAAAAGTAAAAATTGGTTTTCTAACATACAGAATGTAGCAGCCGAATAAGAAAGTTCTGCACTCAGCTTGATTTTCTTTGTCTTGCTTTCCTAGAAAATAGGGCAGTAAAAGTATTTCTGACAGCCGTTTGTGGGACTGATTGTGTGTTGCTATTGGGTGAGGCCAGCTGAACATACAAGATGACAACACAGAGAAAATTAGACAAACACGATGCTGGACTAAACTGTTTAATGGAGTGCATTTTTATTCATTTACACAGGAGCAGGTTGGCCCCAGACGGGGCCAACTGGTTCTTTTGTAAATAAAGTATGTGGATGAAGTTAGTCCGGCATTGTGTTTGTCTCATTTTCTCTCTTCCTGTTTTTGTGCTGTAGGTTCATTTGGCCCCATCGACAAGCGCTGCACCAACAAGCTCAGCTCCGGGTCGTCACAAGGTGTATTTTGTCGCGTGTTTCAATGTTGGTTTGCTTGAGCAGGAGGACTGACAACTACTAGGTACAAGTGACTCAACAACAAATTAAAGGATTTGATAGCATGTTGGTGGGAGTTAAGAAACAAACAAAAGAGAGACACTTATGACAAGAGATGCCACGGGTGTACAGTTCAACTAGCAACATCAATAAACTACCACAAGGCATTATTTTATTTTTGCTAGTTGAGAGATGTACCTGTGTTGTCTCTTGTCATAAGTGTTTGCTACTTTGTTTGTTTTTTGCAATCAATTCACTGTTTTAAGCACTTGAACAAGATTGTCATTTTCTTTTAGTTCGTAGTTATGTGGGAAATCAGGTCAGCCTTTTTGCGGCTCTATATGAACTCTCTTTCCCACTAGGATATTTCTAGTACACCCTAATTTCTTGAGGGGTTTCCAAACCTGCAAACCATTGTCACAAAGCTAAATTTCGAATTAAGCTACACTGTTATGTTTTCCACGTATTATGATCATTTGCCACCTCAAATTTAGTTTCCGGCACTCTGTATTAATTATTTTCTTGTTTTGTTTGCAGCCAGAAAAGTCGAAAACATCCCATCGACAGAAACTGTGGTTTGACTTGGGAAGATGAAAATCAGTTTGTTTCAATTTTTTTTTTTCTGTCTAGTCCTGTTCTAGACTTTCTTCAGCCTATTTCATATTCTATTGTCATATTTTACTTTTTAAAGTGGCAATAAGGCTATTTAATGTCTCGACTTCTGTTCTAGTCTAGTGACAGGCTTTACTGTGGTTTGACTTGGGAAGATGAAAGTCTGTTTGTTTTAATTTTTTTTTTCTGTCTAGTCCTGTTCTAGAGTTTCTTCAGCCTATTTCATATTCTATTGTCATATTTTACTTTTTAAAGCGGCAATAGGCCTATTTAATGTCTCGACTTCTGTTCTAGTCTAGTGACAGGCTTTAGTCAGTCCTTTCCGGCTTTTCTTTAATACGATACCGTTTTAGTAATCAAGTTTTTCTAACTGCTTCTACACATGGCAATTGTATATAGTGCCAGCTGGACATAAAAGGATTAGAGAGAGATAAGAAAGACACACCGTTGGACTAGCAACTGTTTAATCAGATCATCTTTTTCTTCATCTACGTTGAGTTTCTCTTCTTTTTTATCTACACTGCATTTGATTTAATTGAGGAGTTCCTTTTCTTCTAGTCTTATACTCGAGCGTCTCCTCGTCTTCCATTTGTCCACCATGGGTGCGGCCCCTCTAAGATACTCACCTTCCTTGTGGTGTAGTGCGATGGAAGGTATACCCACACACTTGTCCGCTTTTGCGTCAATAGCAAAGGCCTCCAGGATTTCTCGAGTGAACTTGTGGCGGTTTCTTGCCAGGATGTTTAGGCTAGAAAAGTCTGGTACACACAGGCACATATGACAATGGGCAGGTAGGTGCTCTGCACGCTGTGGTGGCCTTCACCGAAGCTGCATGTTCTCTCGTCTAGTCACTGATGCACCTTCCCTTCTGTCCAATGTAACATTGACTACATGACATGGGATTTGGTGCACAACCTCCTTCTCACATTTGGTGTACTTGGCAGTTCATTTTCTCCTTGTTGGCCCTCTTGTTTACATGATGAAAAATTGCACACAAAGAGACAAGGGAAAAACACAGAAGTCAGAGAGGCGCATACTCGCAACTCTGGTATATTAAGTGAAGAAAGAAAAGATGAAGCACGATTCATGACGGGGGACATCAACACCAGGGGGTAAACAGTTCAGTCATAGTGAGGTGTTCGCAAAAAGGCAACTTCTTTTTCGCTCAAAGCAACCGACGGCTGACTAACGCAGAGATCGGTCAGACTCAAGATGGTGAACGCATCGAGCACCTCGCGCGTTTGTTTATCATTAAAGTGCCCAATGATTGAGATTTTTTTCTAAAGATGGTGTGCAGATAGAGGTCTTACAATGCACCAAAAGGTTGACCTCATACAGTTTATGATCGTGCTCTCGCAGCCAGTCATTCAAACACTTTCTAGTCTGTCCGACATAGCATCTTCCACAGGGAAGAGGAATGCTGTACACTACGCTCAATGAACGAGGAGTGAAAGGCTGCACATGTTTTTTGTGGCGCGTGTCTTTTTCGCTTTGGCGCAAACCTTAGAACAAATTTGTCACATCTTTTTAGAGGCTGATAATACTACGGGCACACCATACCTACTTACCACTTGTTTTAGATTATGCGATATCTTGTGTAGATACAATCTAAAACAAGTGGCAAGTAGGTGTGCTGTGCCCACAGTAATATCAGCCCCTAAAAAAATATGACAAATTTGTTTAAGGTCTGCGCCAAAGAGAACAAATTATAAAAAACACGTGCCACAAAAAACATGTGCAGCCTTTTTTTTCCTGTTCATCGAGCGTTGTATACAGCATTCCTCTTTCCTGTGGAAGATGCTATGTCGGACAGACTAGACAGTGTTCGAATGACTGGCTGCGAGAGCACAATCATAAACTGTATGAGGTCAACCTTTTGGTGCATTGTAAGACCTCTATCTGCACACCATCTTTAGAAAAAACCTCAATCATTGGGCGCTTTAATGAAAAACAAACGCGCGAGGTGCTCAGGGCGTTCACCATCTTGAGTCTGGCCGATCGCTGCGTTAGTCAGCCGTCGGTTGCATGAGCGAAAGAGAACTTGCCTTTTTGCGAATATTCCTCTGCGACTGAACTCTTAACCCCCTGGTGTCGATGTCCCCTGTCATGAATCGTGCTGTCTGTCTTCTGTGTTCCTTCCTCGTCTCTTTGTGTGCAACTTTCCATCATGTAAACAAAGGGACCAACAAGGAGAAGACAAACTGCAAGGTATCTCACGAGACCAAGCACACCGAATGTGAGAAGGAGGTTGTGTACCAAATCCCACTGTCATGTGGTCAATGTTACATTGGACAGACGGGAAGGTGCATCGGTGACCAGACTAGGGAACATGCAGCTTCGGTGAAGGCCACCACTGCAGCAGGGGACCTACCCGCCCATTGTCACATGTGCCGGTGTGTACCAGAGTTTTCTAGCCTAACCATCCTAGCAAGAAACCGCCACAAGTTCACTCGAGAAATCCTGGAGGCCCTTGCTATTGACGCAAAGGCAGACGAGTGTGTGTGTGTGCCTTCCATCGCACTACACAACAAGGAAGTTGAGTACCTTAGAGGGCCGCACTTATGGCGGACAGATGGAAGATGAGAAGATGCTTGGGTATAAGATTAGAAGAAGAACTCCTCAATTAAATCAAATGCAATGTAGATAAGAAAAAAAGAGGAAGTGAAACTCAATGTAGATGAAGAGAAAGATGATCTGATGAAACAGTTCCTAGTCCAGCGGTGTATGCCTTTCTTATCTCTCTCTCTAACCCTTCTTTTATGTTCAGCTGGCACTATATAGAGCAATGAGCCAACTAGCTCAGCTTCAAGCTTCACCCGCTCTAGTCACCACTTCTACTCAGTTTCAAGCTTGTTTCTGTAGTACATACAGATTTGTCTTAAGTTATTGGCTTGTCATTTTAACAGCTGAGTCTAGCAGCATCCTTACTCGTATGTATATGCTTTTGGTTTAATTTGAAACAATAAATGTTTTAGTACATGTACCTGACTGATTTCATCTTTGCAAGGGTAGTAAATTGCAATTATTTCGTCTCAATATGTGCTGTGATGAAAAGGAGCTTGTTAATTCTAGCGTTTTTGTTAATAGTGTGCAATATTGTGCCTTTCACAAACATTCTTTTCCTCAGTTAACGGACATGCTACGATCAAGCTTCTTCAAAAGGTGCATACAGTCAATTCTCTCCCGTTATGTGTATTGCGCACTGGAGTCCGGTGGTTCATCTTCTGGAAAACATTGCTATGTATGTGAAAAAGGACCTCCTCGAAGACCCAGGACGCAATATTTTGTTGCAAGTCTTAGCTTTTTCAGCCCTCAGAAAAGCCATGTCTGTAGTGAAACACTGCCTGTCGTTGGGTTTCAAGGAGGTTCCTTTCCAACACCCTTCTTTCAGCTTTGACTACCTGCAGTTTTGTTGGTATGCAAGTTTATAAAACATTAGATTCACATCAAAGAAAATGGTACTGCTACACTAGCAGAATATCCACAAAATGTTAGAAAGAACTTTTCAGTTGAAGACAAAAGTATTGTAATCAGACGCAGTTGCTACCCATGCAGTTCGCCTTGTTCACAGCAGAGGCGTAACTGCATGGGTAGCGGTTGCGTCTGATTTATAATATTTTTGTCTTCGTCAACTGAAAAGATCTTTCTAACATTTTGTGGATATTCTGCTAGTGTAGCAGTACCATTTTCTTTGATGTGAATTTAATGTTTTACAAACGTTGCATACCGGTTGTAAAAGTGTTTCTCGAATGTTCCTTCAATGTTAATTTAACGTTTTGCAAACATTAAATTTATGTTGAAGGAATGTTTCCTGTGTGTTCAAATAACGTATGGAAAAACATTAATCTAACGAACAGATAAACATTGTGGAAATATTAAATAAAATGACATTAAGGACATATTTCAAACATTTGGGCCAAACAAAAAAATAACATTATTATAATGTTTTGGTGCTACCTGGGTGACAGGTCAAGAACCAAGTGGAAGCTCCTCCCACCTCTTTCCACTTGAGCAGAGCAAACGCTGGAGAGGAGGTCGCCTCCTCTCCAGCGTTCGCTCTACTAAAGAGGAAAGAGGTGGGAGGAGCTTCCACTTGGTTCTTGACCTGTCACCGACTACAGCAAAATGTATGCAAAATGTTCAGAGGAGTGTTCTGAACCATGAAGATAAATATATACTGTAAAAGTCTGGTTGAGACAGTTGTGTTTGACTGCATTGCCAGGGCTGTTGCCGAGAGACGGTGAATTGCCATGGCAACACCTGTCACGTACGGTAACTCAGTCGTCTTACCAAGGTGCAAGCCCTGCAACACAGTCAAATTAGTGTTTGAAGCAGCCTTAGTTCAGATGTGCCCTACACACAGTATATATATGCCTTTATGGTTCAGAAGTGTTCCTCCAAACTTTGCAGACATTTCACCAGTGCAGTAACATTCTCTTCTGTTTCACAAGCTTTAACACTCCTTGAAACAATATATGGTGGGCCAAAACAATTCTACACAGCAATGACACCCTAGCTATTATTGAGTATTGTTTACTCAGAAGATGGGGGCTTTGCAATGAGCATAAAAATGTGAGGCACAATCATTATTAGACCTTTTCAAAACAGCAGATTAACACATTTCAATATTCCACACCAGTGAAAAAACTAAATAAAACAGACATGTATGGTTTGTCTTCGTGACTCTTAACAGTCCCTCCAAACATTTTTTCATAAGAGCAATTGCATTTTTTTTCGTGAACACTAACCAAGCTAGGTGCGCTTTTTGCTAATACAATCGTGTAAAAAAAAAAAAAAAGCCACAGTAGCGTGCAACCTCGAACTATGTGTGCGCGTCCTGCCGGTGGCGTGGGGAACTATCCCCTCTAATACTGGCAGATTGCGAGATTAGCGACTATCAACACCCAGTTATATGACCTGCACTGCTGCCGTACTGACAGTCATTTGCCTAAAGTGGCGCACTGTACACTGACATTGAAATGTTTTGTCAGCTGAACAGACAATGCGCTTTTCAAGAACATTATTTGCAACGATGCATGCTTTTGGTTCAATATGGTTGTCGTGATGTGAATCAAAGCTTATTGTGCTTCACTGGAACTGTAGCGAAAACAAAAAGGAAAGACATTCTGTTGCGTTTATTAGCGATACGCAGAGGCGAATGCAGAGGGGAAGGGGGAGTGAGTCACGAGTGCGGGCAACGTCTATTGTATCTATTCCCTATGTCCAGGGCGTGTCAGATGCTGTTCGGAGAGCTTTGTGCCCGCTGGGCGTACAAACTGTTTTTAAACCACATTATACCTTAGCGAATGTGTTCCCGAAACCGAAGGACCGCACCTCTGCAGACGGTCAGAGGGGGGTCGTATACAAAGTGCAGTGCGGGGATTGTGACGCGACCTACATCGGCGAAACGGGCAGAAAGAGGGCAACGAGATTGAAAGAACACAAAAGGGACGTTGCCAAGGCCACCCATGCCACGCGGTCCAAGACAGAACTTGTCGAACACTGCTGGACGACAGGACACAGTTTCGACCTGGACAATGCGACGACGCTGGCCCGAGAACAAAGGTGGGGGCAAAGAAAATTCGTCGAGTCCTGGTTCATTCGCCGTGACTCATCGGTGTGCAACACCAACCGTGGCCCCCTGCCGGACGTTTACGGGGATGTGTGTGATAAGTAGACTGGTCGACCTCACCTCATTTGTGTCAGTGTATAGACATTTTCCACAGGGGCGCCGCCATCTTGAATTGTCGTCACTTCCAGTATGGGCGAGAACAAAATAGCAAAACGTTTCAACCCGTAACCAGTAAAAAAGTAGAGGGGAGCCAAAACGAGAATGTGTGACGGTTAGGCTTATATCCTAAATGTCTTCTATTGGCGTGGCAACGGCACAGTAATGTTTTCGCCCATACTGGAAGTGACGACAATTCAAGATGGCGGCGCCCTTGTGGAAAAGGTCTATACTGAAGATGCCACCTGCATAGGTGGCGAAACGTCTGTACCTTTTGTTATTAATTTGTTATGTTAAGTAGGAGTAAACCTTTTCAATCATGAATTCACCCGGCTTTTGGAACATTTTTGTAGTTGGGCTAGTTGGTGAACGTTGGAAATCATAGTGTAAGGCGCAAAAAAGCAATGGACACAAGAGAGAAAACAGACATACAGGTGCCACTCACAACTGTACTTGAAAAGTGCAGAAAGAAAGGAATACATACATTGTCATCTTCATCACGTCCACGCATGCGCGTAGCCATGTGTTAGATGAGGCGTATATTACATGGCTAAGCGCATGCGTGGACGTGATGAAGATGACGATAGATGTATTCCTGTTTTTCTGAACTTTTCAAATATATATAGTTGTGAGTGGCACCTGTATGTCTGTTTTCTCTCTTATGTCCGTTGTTTTTTTTTGCGCCGAACACCATGATTCCCAGGTGATTAATTGCAGTCTACCCCTGCTGTGAAAGAAAACAGTTTGGTACATGTTTATGAGTACATTTATTGACTCCAAATTTGGAACATTGAAGTGTACATGAGCAGCGACAATATTGCTAGACTATGCAGTTAAAATTATTTTCCCTCTAAAAAAAAAAAAATTAAAGTGAACAATTATGAAAAAAAATTCACACTTTCGAAGAAGCTTGAAGGCCTGTAAATTGGGTTTATGAAGCTCACATAATTAAAGAAAGGGGCGAGAAAACTCAACAGTGTTTCTCTACCGCAAAAATAAACTAGACATCACAACGACCTCAAACTCTGGTAGAATGTAGCCCTGGCGATTGGAGTAGGGTGCAAAAGTTTGAAAACACGACATTATATAGATCAAAAGATAATAAAAAAAATTCTCTATGAGTTGACGTCCATTTTAAGCCCAATTTGCGGTACATAAAAAATAGCACCGAGAATGCTAGCACTAATTTTGGTGGAAAAAGCTTGCCATCATGAAAGAAAGCATAATTATCTTTCCTGCTCACAAACTTTCTCATTAAAATGAATGCTACAAGAACTAAAATGTCATCTTACGGTTTTACAGTGGACTCGCTTCATACCAAAATTGTTTCTCTTTATTATAATTTAATAAATGTTCTCAAACGTTCACATCCTACTCCAACCGCGAGGGCGTTTCAGAGGAGTTTGAGCTCTCCGCATTCTCATACCGAGCAGCTATAAATGTTCAAGTTGCAAAAGTAAAAATAGAGCTATAAAAAGCTTAAAAACCTGTCTGGAACACATGATTAGGAAAAGGTTTTAAAAGAAATGTCCACAACTGATGACTAGATGAAAGCAAGACAAAAAAAAACAAAAAAAACATTATTTCCATACTGAGCAGGTGGCAAATACTCATGAATAAATTGTTTTTAAATGATAAAATAAAGGTAAACACAGAATGTCGTCTTTCTAGAGCTGAGATTCGCACCAGCACTTCCTGCTTTGGACACGATGCTTAGGACTTCTTTGCCTG